GGCCTTGGAGCGACTTTCCCCGCATTAAGTAGAGGCAGAGTCGCAATGAGGAAATCTACCCGTTTAATAGGGGAAAATATTGCCTCTGTAAGGCTTTATGCAACGCACTTGAGCTTAATGCTCACTTACCAGCTCGCCCCTGGAACTTCCATGTTGAGTGAATTACGTGCTCCAGGCGGGTAGTGATTAAAGAAGTGATAAGTGCTTTATAATTCAGTAAAGGGAGGCCTGGCCATTTCATATTTTCCTCAGGAAATTGGCCACCCGAAGGCCAGCACTCTGGGGACCCGGGGGCCGGCTGATCTTAGGCACGGAGCTTGCCGTGTTGGCTCCCTTTCAGGCCAGCTGCTCGGGCCTGGACCAGACTCCTCGTGCCCAGACGGTCTCCTCCGAGGCCGCTGGGGAGAACGGGTCTCGCCTGCCTCAGGCTGCTTCTGCTCCTCATCAAAGCCCTTCCCTCTCCTGCTTCAAAGGCTGCGACACCTAGTAGGGCTGGAGGCTTTACGATCCACGTGGTTCGGGCCTCATCACCCCAATCCCACAAGCGCGGCCTTTTTTAAAGTTGATGTCAGAGAGAGGAAGGGAGGGAGAGAGAGAGAGAAACATCAATGATGACAGAGAATCATTGATCGGCTGCCTCCTGCCCACCCTCCACTGGGGATGGAGTCCACAACCCGGGCATGGGCCCTGACTGGGAATCGAACCCTGACCTTCTGGTTCGTGGGTTGATGCTCAGCCACCTCCCTACTCCTGACACTGGAGCTCTGGCCCATGGGCCTTGCAAGGCCTCTGGGGTCCTCCCCCCCTCCCCCCCTACACACCCGTTGCTGGGCTCTGCAGTGACTCCCTGATTGGATGTTGAATGGTGTGCCCAGGGCCACATCCCTTCTCTGCTACCAAGTTCAAGGTGTCAGTGGGGCCCAAACAGGGCTCTGGGCTGCTCAGGTGGGCCAGGGGGAGGACCATGCAGGGGTAGAGTGTGGCGTGCACTTAACCCAGGGCAGCTGCTCGTATCGGAGATGAGTGAGTGGTGGACAAGACAGATATGGCCCCGGTCGCCATGCATCATCGTTCCAGTGCAGACACTGACGACAAACACGGAATCAAATAATCCAATCAGGCAATTACAGATGGTTAGTCAGGGCTGTGAAGGACAGAAACGGGCTTGTGCCAGAGCGCAGCTGGAGGGGGGGCTCCCATGGGGTCGTGCAGGCTTCTCTGAGAAGGTGACCTTTGAGTGAGATGGGAGGGATGACCAGGAGCTGGGAAGGTGTTTCGTGGACGTTCAGGTTGGGAGCAAGTATATATATATTTTTGTTAATCTTCCCCTGAAGGTATTTTTCCATAGATTTTTAGAGAGTGGAAGGGAGGAGGAGAGACAGGGAAACATTGATGTGAGAGAGACACAACCCGGGCTGGGATCAAGCTTACAACTGAGGTACATGCCCTTGACCAGAATCGAACCCGGACCCTTCAGTCTGATTAGAGCAGGCCGTTGCTCTAACCACTGAACAACTGGCCAGGGCAAGCCTGGTCTGTTTCAAGAGTAGAACACAGGCCAGTGTGGCCGGGCCCAGAAACCAGGGGAAGGTGCTGGCAGAAGGGCCGAGCCGGACAGCCTGACTCCCCAGTGCGCTGGCCAATCCCAGATGAATTGCCGCCCTGGAAGTTAGGCCTTCTGTCTGTGGGGGATCTGAGGGCTGTGCCCTGACCTTGTCCCTGTGGGGAGACCGGGCCTCAGCCCCACAGGGCACTGGGCTTGCACACACCTCCCCTGCTCCTGGCACGTGCGCTGGACTTGATCAGGACGCCGCTCAGATGCTACCGGCTCCCATCTGTCCGCTGCACGACCTGATGTTCCTTTCTGCGGCCCCGGGGGTCCCGGATGAGGACGGGCTCGCGTGGTCCTGGCGTGCAGGTGCTGGTGGAGCTGTGGCTCACGCGTGGGCATGCTGGGGCTGTCCACCCAGGGAGGCTCTGGGCATCTCAGCGAGGGAGCGAGGGTGATGGGGCTGGTGAGGTCCGACGTGGCTTCCCCGGCTGCCTTGGTGCCCGCGCTCCACGGGGCTGTTGCTCGGGACGGTTTGTTTACAATGCTAAACATATCAGATAATTGAAAGCTAATGCTGCTGTCTGGATCACTAGACATAATATGCCTGGATAACAAATCAATTTCCTCATCGCCCCACAAGGCTTCCAAGTCAGATGCACAGCATGTTCTGTGTGCGTGCGTGCGTGCGTGCATGCTCTTTCCGTTGCTGACTGGTTATTTGGGAAGTGGAATTCCAGGCTGCTTTCCCCAGGCACCAACTCCATCCTTCTGTCCGGGTCTCCATCCCAGAGCAGGATTCGGGTGAGGAGGGGCTGGGCACCTCAGCTCTGATGGGAACAAACAGCCTGGAAAGAAGGGACATCTGTCCGCGGCCTTGTTCCCCGAAGCTCAGTGCTGTGTGTTGGGCGGGCAGGAGCTCATGTACAAAACCATGTGCGGAGCATCGGTTCCCACTGCCTCCTGCCAGGGCGCAGCTCCAAGGCCGGCCCGGGGGCAGCGTGTTAGCGGTGCCACCAGGGCGTGGGGGTGAGGACGCTCCCTCCCAGAAGACATCATTTCTCTGGCACCTCAATCAGAAAGGGGGGGCGAAGCAAGGGCAGACCTACCTATGTGTGTGTGTGTATGTGTGGGGGGTGTGTATGCGTTTGTGAGAATCTCCTCATATCCCCTTACATCCATGTTCAGCTCCTCCTCATTCTCACTGAACACAGAATTCCCGCCACAGTAACGGAACCAGCTGTTCACTGCGCTGGTGCTGTGCATGGACCCTGGAGGGAGGGCGCGGGCACCGCCTCCACCAGTCCTCACAGCATCTGGGTTTCCCAGGAGGAAACTGAGGACAGGAGGGGCTGGAGCCACTGGCCCAGCGGCTTCTCAGTTCAGAGCTGGGGTCTCGTCCAGGTCAGCCCGCCCTCAGGGTGCCCACTCCTCACCTCTGTGCTCCCAGGGGCTGCAGAGCAGACTGGTTGAGGCACCTTGGAGGGGGAGGCGCCCTCCAGCAGGTGTTCAAGGGGGTGATGGCCCACAACCTGATGGCAGAGAAAGAGCCAGAACTCCACTGAGCACAGATGCAGGGAGCATTCGCTTCAGGAATCAGCTCAGGGTGGGGCTGTCTTGGGTGGGCACACATTCGGGGGACACTGTGTCACAGTTCAGCAAACTAGTTAGGTTGGTTATGGTCACCCAGGACCATCAAGGAAATGACGCCCAACCAGCATGGTTGAGTGTCGACCTATGAACCAGGAGGTCACGGTTCGATTCCTGGTCAGGGCACATGCCCGGCTTTCGGGCTCGATCCCCAGGAGGGGGCGTGCAGGAGGCAGCCGATCAGTGATTCTCTCTCTCCCTCTCCCTTCCTCTCTGAAATAAAAACATATTTAAAAAAAGAAAATGTACGTACGCCACCTTCTGCCCGCTCCGCTTAAGAAGTCCAGGAGGTGCATAATGCACTTTCGGGCCGAGAAAGAAACACCAGCAGGAGGCTGAGCACACACAGGCTTTGCACTGAAGGTTAGTTGTCTGGAAAGTCTGGTTACCAGGCGGCTCATGCACAGCAGTGAGATGCGATGGAGGTCGCCGCGACCTGATGGGGGAGGAGGGGACGAGGTGGAGGGGAGAGGCCCTGGGCCTGCCGCCGCCGGAGGAAGGACTTTTCCGTCCCTCCCGAGTCCCCAGGTGACCCGGGACATTCTGTGAGGTGAGGGTGCTGGGCCCTTCCCTGGGCCTTCCCAGCAGCCTCAGGCCCCTGGTGTTTCTACGCGTAGGCCTCAGCCCTCGGCGCTGTGAACAACTGAAACATATCCACATGACATGTTTTTAATTAAAATATGGGTCACACAGTCTGCGCCATCTAATTTTTCTGTGCGTGGAGGTTGCCAATTCATTTCCATGTTGGCTCAGGACAAACCGGAGGTAGGAAACTTTGGCATGGAAGCACAGCGCGGTTTATTCTCGCACAAGGGGACGTCGTATTTTCTGTGGACGTGGCCATTACTACCTCCCTGTGCCCTAGCCCATCCCCAAGGGCTGTGAAGGGTCCACGTGTGGTGTGGGCGTATCTGCCCCAGACCTGGGTGCTGTTCGTGCGACTCGGGGAGTGGCCTCCTTTCGGACAGTTTCCCTCTTCCTTCTGGAGGGACCGTGCACACGAGTGGTCCCCTGGCTCCTCGTCCGAAGCTGGGCCCCGTGAATGAATGGATGGATGGGTGGATGGATGCGCATCCGCGGGAACGCTGCGATCCGCTTGTAGTTTACATGAGCCGATGGCCCGGCGGATACGCTGGTGGGGACGGGGCTGGCACAGGTCCTCCTCCTGCAGGCCTTCCTTTTCATCAGACATGGAGCTGGGTCCCCACCCTGCTGGCACCAGGTCAAGTCAGCGGCCGGTGGCTGCAAGCTTCCAAGAGAAGCCTTTGGCCTTGGACTTTAACACCGAGCCGGCCACCTGGTCCACGGCCCCAGCAGATGCCCGTGTGTCTGGCTGCTCAGCAGGGGCCCCGAGAGAATGTGCTACACGGCGGGCTCCCGCATACCATGTCACCGCGGCCCTGAAACGCTTCCCGAGGCCCCGGCCGCTGCCCCGCAGCCTTCCTGGCTCTGGCTGCACGTGGCGGCAGATGGCAGGGCCATGGGTGGTAGGCAGGGAGGCGACGTCTGGGGAAGGTGGCTGCCACTTCTCGGGCCTGGTGTCCTGCGGGGAGCTGTCACCTCCCTGCACTTCGGGGCCACTGATGGGAACGTCGCATCCAAGGAGGGTGTGTGGGCATTGACTCTGCCTAAACTCCTGGGGCATCTTGGGATCGTCAATATCCAAACCCCTGAAAGCTGCCTGGCAGGGGTGGCCCCGCCCGTGTGGGACCCACTGGGATTTGCACCCAGGTCTCTCTGGCTTCGAGCCAGCGCCTGTCCGTGGCCACTCAGCTGACCTGACCCTGCTTTTCCTCCCCAGACACATAGAGAACTGGCGCGGCCTGCACACGCTCAACGCCGTGGACATGGAGCTCTACACGGGCCTGCAAAAGCTGTGAGTGTCCGCCAGGCCCCGGGATGTGGCAGGGCAGGGGGAGGGGGGCTGCCTGTCTGCCTCCTGGGCCGGGTGAGGGCCCTGCAAGGCCCCTGTCTGCACTTCTGGGGGTTCTTCTGTTAGTGGAGGTGGCACCGCCCACTCAGAGAACTCGGGGGCTTGAAAGGCCGGCCCCTCACGCTCCCACATTGGCCGGGTGAGGGCCCTGCAAGGCCCCTGTCTGCACTTCCGGGGGTTCCTCTGTTAGTGGAGGGGGCACCGGCCACTCAGAGAACTCGGGGGCTTGAAAGGCCAGCCCTGCAACGCTCCCACTGGGCCTGCAGGACATCTCACCTGTGGCTCAGGTGTTAAGGCAGGACCCTCTTCAGGGCTAACAAGCCCCCTGGAGCATGAAGTTCCCCGACCTCCTCCTCGGGACTTCAGTGCTGGCAGCTGGGGGGACTCGGGGTGGGGAGGAGACCCCAAGGGGGAGCCCCGTTCTCAGGCACCTGCCAGTCTGGGTGGAGGACAGCTGCCAGCACTGCCCACCCACATCCCGAGCCGTCCCCCAGGTCCCGTGCGGTGTGAGCCCAGATGGCCCTCACTTGACACCCCCAGTGGGTATCATCGGTGCCCCGTGGAGCCCAGTGGTGCCGATGATGAAGAAGAGAGTTCACTTCAGCGGGGCGGCTGCAGGTCCAGGCCTGGCCTGGCCTCCTGTCGCCCTCAGCCCGCAGCGGGTGTCCCTCTGTCCCCTGAGCTCTGCTGACCCTCTCTCTCCCTCCAGGACCATCAAGAACTCAGGACTCCGGAGCATCCAGCCCAGAGCCTTTGCCAAGAACCCCCACCTGCGCTACATGTGAGTAGGGCGGGGTCCTGGCCCCTCGAGCCCCTGCGGTGGGACGCGCCTGAGGTGCATGCTTTGCAGCTGGAGGCGTGGCCATGGCCGGAGGGGGCCTGGGGCCAGATGTTCCGGGTGTTTATTTTATAGGGGATCTGAGGTTCACTGCAGAACATGCCAGGGGATGCGCTTCTGACCTCTGACAAGTCTCCCTTTTCATACTGAGCCACGCAAAGGCCACAGAGCTGGTGCCTGCAGCGTGCCCGGTGGGGACAGTGCCTGCAGCGTGCCCGGGGGGGACAGTGCCTGCAGGGACTTCCTGCTGCGTGTGGAGGCGGGACTTCCTGCTGCGTGTGGAGGCGGGACTTCCTGCTGCGTGTGGAGGCGGGACTTCCTGCTGCGTGTGGAGGCGGGACTTCCTGCTGCGTGTGGAGGCGGGACTTCCTGCTGCGTGTGGAGGCGGGACTTCCTGCTGCGTGTGGAGGCGGGACTTCCTGCTGCGTGTGGAGGCGGGACTTCCTGCTGCGTGTGGAGGCGGGACTTCCTGCTGCGTGTGGAGGCGGGACTTCCTGCTGCGTGTGGAGGCGGGACTTCCTGCTGCGTGTGGAGGCGGGACTTCCTGCTGCGTGTGGAGGCGGGACTTCCTGCTGCGTGTGGAGGCAGGGCTACCTGCTGCCAGATGTGCTGATTTTTATGTTATTTTCCCAAGAAGAGCTGGAGGTCTAGTAAAACCTCTCAGTTTAAATCCTGGCAACTAAAAGTAAAATCACTCCACCCCATGGGCCACACAAGATTGCTGTGGGCAGATGCCACGTGGGCGCCAGAGTCATCGCAGGAGAGGAGCCCTCGTCACCGGCAGGAGGGGGAGCTCTGTCTCCGATGGGGCAGTGGCTGGCTGCTCATGCCCTCGAGCCTTCTAACATTGTGTCACCTGCGCTCTCAGGGGAATCGGGAGGGCTTTGGGGCCTGCCACGTTTCCAGGGGCCACAGAAGAGGGAGCCGGGGTGCATCCCGGGTAATGGGTGCCTCTGAAGTCGGGTGTACCGGGACGCCTTTGACTTACCCTGAGGTCCCAGACAGTGACCCACCGTTTCTTTGGGGATGATCTGCCCTCTGCTGGGTGGTGAGTGACAGGCTGGTGGGCTTTGCGAGGTCCCCAGCTCTGGGGTCAGGGTGTCTGCTGTTAATTGTGTTAAAAAGGTTGGCATCAGAAGAGAGGAGGGGAAGGCTCACATTGGGTAGGACTTCACTGGGTGCCAGGACTTGCTGGTGCTTTTGCAAAGCCAGCCTCACTCCTCGCAGGAACTGAGGGTCGGGTTCTGCTCTGCCCATTTCATAGATGAGAACGTCGGGGCTTGGAAGTCATCACTGGCTTCCCTCAAGGTTGAATAGCTGTTAGTGGAACAGCCAGGACTTGGCCTCTAGGCATGTTTTGTCTCTCTCTCTAGTTTTCAAAGTAAGAAGTCTTCTTGTGAGGAGAGAGCGAGAGAGAGAGCGAGAGAGAGAGGAGGTTTCCCAGGGGATTTGGTGCCAGCCGTCCTCAGACAATTGGCCTCTAGGCATGTTTTGTCTCTCTCTCTAGTTTTCAAAGTAAGAAGTCTTCTTGTGAGGAGAGAGCGAGAGAGAGAGCGAGAGAGAGAGAGAGAGGGAGAGAGGAGGTTTCCCAGGGGATTTGGCGCCAGCCGTCCTCAGACAGCTCTGTTGAGACAGCGGGTTTCCTTTCTTCCCTATTCAGGTCAAACGCTGTAGCCACAGTCGCATTGCAGCCGAATGTCTCTATTAGAGGAGGTTTCAGAGCATTAGCCTCTGGCCCACTTACTTCCAAGAATATGTAACGTAAGAGTCCAGCAGCCAAAATAATTCTCTCATCCCTCGGAGTTGTGGTGCCAGATCTCCCTCGTGTTCGGGTTCTTGTTTCCCCTGAAGAAGCTCTGGGTGCCTTGTTAGCCGTTTCTCTCTGTCCTGGGCAAGCGTGACCTTGATCTTCAGCTGTGGGCGTGTGATGGGTGAGGAGGGGAGGGTGTCCTGATTTCGGCACCACTAAGTCAACGACACTGGGTGGAGGGAGGGAAGGGGCTGGAGTGCCAGCCTTTTCGGGACATGAAGGCGACAGTTTCCCCTCAGGTTCCCGGGATGGAGACACAGCGAGACTGATTGATTCCGTGTTGTAAATCACTCAACTCTTTCCCCCTTGAAATACCGCCATCCTGGGCCCCAGGACAGTGTACAGCGGCTACGTCAGTAGGCGTTTGCGTCCTCTGCCCCTTGCCTCTGAGAGGGATTGTCCCCCGGCGCACTGGTCCCCTCACGGCTTCCCCTCGCGCCCTTGTCTGCTCGTGTGGAAGACACATCGAACTCTGTGCAGCTCCCAGGCAGGAGCGCAGGCTCTGAGCTGGAAAGGCCCGGGTTCAAATCCTGCATCTTCCACATCCTGCTGCGCGACCTTGGGAAGCTGGTGAAGGTCATGAGTCTGAGGGGATTGTTCTACCCTCAACCAGGACGGCCATTAGGAAGCGCTGACGACAGTGATGACTTTGTGGCCGCTCATTGGCCTCTGATTTCATAGATGAAGCTGGAAGGGGCTCAGAGCCAGCCCCCCAAGGGCATATCGCGTCCCTGCTCCCACCCTGCCCTTTAGACTCCTAGTAAACTTCCCTTCTGACATCGAAAATGTCAGGCTCAACGTGGCCCAAACAAGTCTCGATTCAAGGTCACGTCCTCGCTCCAGCCTGTTTTCTCTCAGGGTTTCTTGTTAACCCTTTACCTGCCCCCCACCCCCACCCACTGTTTAATTCATCCCGTCCCTCAGAGATGCTGCGCCCATCGCTCCCCTTGCCCGCCATGCTGCCGTCTTGGTTTGCATCAGCGTCCTCTCTGCTGGCTCCATGGTGACGGCCCCCCGGGGGCTTTCTTCCCTCCACTTTTGTCCCTTCCATTCATCCTGACACAGTTGCCAGAGCGATACTTAAATACATAAAGTCAGTCGTGCCACTCTGCCGCGTACAGCCCTCTAACTGTGTCCTGCTTTCCTTAAGATGGAAGCCACGCCCTCCACATGGTCACAGGAGGCAGCTGACTTGCCTGGTTCCCCTCCTGCCTCCGCCTCTGGCTCCCAGCTGGGCCGGGGCCCTCTCTCAGCCCCTCAGCCCCTTGCAGGTGGTTGGCACTTTCTCATCCTTCACTCTGATGCCACCTTCTGAGCGAGACCCTCTGCCCACCCAGTCTTCATGGCGCTTTTCCTTCCTCTCCTGTCGCTCTCCATCACCTCGTGTGGCTTCACCGCTCCCCCAGGCCTTGTTCCTGTGGACTGGCTGCCAGCATCTCGCTGTCACTTAATTGTTCGCACTCTGTCCCCCTGGGAGGAGGTGAACTCCCATAGAGCAGACCTATGTGGTGGTCACCGCTCTAGCTCCAGCGCCCAGAAACACGCCCGGCACAGGGCACGCAGTCCAGAGCGATTGGCTGAGTGTATGAGGGACTCTAGTCTAAGGTGACCATTCTGTGGGCGGCAGGATGGATGTCCGGGGTGGAGAGCTATTCTGACCAAGGTCTCACGGGTAAGAGTGGCACCAGGTCTCAAACTCAGGTCTTGGCACTGTGTGTGTTTTTTTTTAAATCCTTACTTAAGGATATGTTTTCATTGATTGTTTATAGAGAGAAAAAGGGGGAGAAAGAGAGAGAGAAACATCAATGTAAAAAAGAGAAATGGATCAGTTGCCTCCTGTATACACACACCCTGACCGGGACTCGAACCCATTACCTTTGATGTGCGCGATGCTCCAGCCAACGGAGCCGCCCAGCCAGGGCGGTGCTGTCTATTGGACATTCCTTCCACCATGTCACCCTCGTGACTTTTCCTGGGCCCTGTCTAACCAAGCTCCTCAGGCTTCTGGGGAGGGCAGGAAGGCGCAGTCTGGTTTGAAAGAACGGATGTATGGGCAAGTATCCTATGCCTAGCATTGACATACAGCGCTGATGCAATAGCACGACAAATGGGACAGTCACGTGGCAGCATCACTCTGCGGAAATGTCACATGAGAATGTGCAGCGGAGGCACCTGGTCTCCCGGAGCCTTCTGCTCGCATCGCTCCACCTGCTCACCAGCCATCAGACCCGGTGCCCGCGCTGCAGCCTCTGACGACGTCCATCAACCACTGTGCTGGCTTGGCTGGGTCGTTAAGAGCGTGTGCTCTGGAACCACGCTGCCCGAGTTTAAATTCTGGCTCTACCACCTCCCTCTGCATCCTGGGAGAGTTACTTGACGTGTCTGCATATCTGAGCCTTGATGTTCTCCTTTGGAAAGTAGGATAATATGGTTGTCAGCCGGGTTAAGTAGCTGATGCTGTGAGGCGTTGAGAAGAATGCCTGGCCCACAACAAGAGCCCAATGTGTGTTAGTTGTTGTTGCTGTCTTGTCATTTTTAAAAAAAAATACTTTTTATTGATGTCAGAGAGGAAGGGAGAGACAGAAATATCCATGATGAGGGAGAATCATGGATCGGCTGCCGCCTGCACGCCCCCTACTAGGGATGGAGCCTGCAATCCGGGCATGTGCCCTGACCGGGAATGCAACCCTGACCTCCGGGTTCATGGGCCGACGCTCATGCAGCGAGCCACACCGGCCGGGCATGGCCTGAAAGTTACAGTTTGGTTATGCTCTTGTCAGCCTTGCCTTCCAGAAACTCGGTCTAATGCCGAGTAAGCAGCGTGGCCCCGGCTGCGTCTCCTGGCCGTGGAGGTAGACACGGGCCGTATTTTCCAGCTTCGTTTATGCTCAGTCTGCTTTCTGTTCTCCCCCCGCTGCCCTGAGGCTTCATTGCTTCCCATTTGTCCACACCCTCTTCTCATTGTTCTTGTTAGGGACAGTCTAGAAAGCGAGATCAGTCCCTGGCTATTTTGGATCATCATTAATTTCCGTCCCTCTCCATTCCTTAGCAGGCTGGCAGCCTCCGTCTCCCCGTTCCTTCTTGATGGATTTCGCAGGTCTCTCTCATTCCCCACTTAACCCCTGTGCCTCTT